TTCTTACTTAGAGCGCATAAATTCATGGAGTTATATAAAACGTATCGAGTTTCTGGAGTTTTCTTTTTTCACTAAACTCGACACAATACGTCTACTTTACTCGATCGAAAGTGGTATAATGCGCTGAAGTTTAAATTTAGGAGTTGGGGAAATAGTTTATTTACACTTGACCGTCGAGCATAATATATTATGTTAGAGGAGTTAAGGTGTCATTTAATGGATATGTAGACTTTAATTATCTCCAAATCAATAAATCATTTATTGATTTGGAGAAAGCGTACGACTCTATTCCCCGCAGCAAGATATGGGAAGTATTGAATATCTTAGAAGTAGATAGACCTTTGCTTAAGATAATAAAAGAGCTATATAAAGAAAATGAATCGTACGTTAAGATAGGACACATGCTATCTAATCCAATTAGCACCACAAAAGGGTTGCGACAAGGATGCAGCTTATCTCCTCTGATCTTCAACGCTTACGTCGAATTAGCCCTTAGGGAATGGAAGACGAAATATCAAGGTATGGGAATACCCATTGGGGACAACACACTATTTACCCTGAGCTTTGCAGACGATCAGGTCGTGATTGCGCAGGACTCATACGATCTAGAGTTCATGACTAAGAGGCTTTATCAAGTATACAACAAATGGGGACTTCAGGTTAGTCTAAAGAAGACCGAATACTTAGCTGTCAATTCCAACACTTGTTTTGAAGTCTTCATTAATGATAACGTCCAGATTCAACAAGTAGACAAATTTAAATACCTGGGTGCTACTATCAACAACGAGGGTTTGGGCAAAGAAGAAATACAAACCCGAATTCAGAAGAGCAAACAAGTTATTGGATGTCTTAACAGCCTCTGGTGGGACCGAAACTTATCTGCAACAACTAAAAAGAGACTTGGAAGAACATTGGTGGAGTCAGTTCTTTGCTATAGTTCAGAGCTGTGGACTCGAAGCGCAAAATCCAAGTTGTTGAAATGGACTACCTTAGAAGAAGTGCAGGTATATCTAGGATGGAAAAAAAGACAAACATCCAGGTCAGGCGTATCATGAATGCATCGGAGGAGACAGTACTGGATCGAATCGAAAAATCCAGCTTAAAATGGTTTGGACATGTTCTGCGTATGCCGGAGAACAGGTGGCCAAAAAGAGTTTTTCAATGGGCTCCCCATATGGGCAGAAGAAAGAGAGGTAGACCTAGAAAATCCTGGAACGGAACGGTTACGGAAGCAATGGAAGCTCGTAACCTAGAAGCTGATGACGCTCTAAATTGAGATGTGTGGCGTAGGGTAACGGGAAGGCAGCAATAGGCTGTAGTTGGAAATGAGTATTAAATACTTAAACCAAATCCCGTTTATATATATATATAGAGTTTTATTATATATACTAGCGTGTACCCGCGACTTCGTTCGCGTCGAAATAATCATTTCTAATGGTGATAATAAAGCAAAGCAAAAATTTCCATTAACATACGAACTGGATATAATTTTCTCACAGAGTTTTTGCAGCGTTCGTCTAATAGACATATTTTTGTTTAAACGCTCTCTCTAAATTTGCGAAAATTTTTTTTTTGAAATGTGTCAAAAATTATACAGAATGTCCCAGAAATAAGTGCAAATATTTTAACGGGTGGTAGATCTCGATAACAGAAACATATTTTCTCTTTATCGTTTTTCAAATAAGTCCAAAATAACGGAGTTATTTTACTTTGAAAATTTCCAAAAAAAATGTTGTTTTGCTAAAATTTTGAAAACCACTGGATCTTTTTGAAAATTTAATCTAATACCTATGTTGCCATATTATCAAGAAATTATGTTTTTTAACTAAAAACTAAAAAAATTTCCAAAAAAATTACAAATTTTCAAAATTTTTTTTTCGCGAAAAAACCTCATAGGCGTGTTTCTGGGGTTGAACTATACTGCCAGTTAAAATATTTGCACTTATTTCTGGTACACCCTGTATAGAAAACTTGGTAATACATATTTGAGGGGTATAGTTTCATCTCGTTCGAATTTGACTTTCGAAAAATCCGTTTATCAAAAATAAGCTTTTTACGTCAAGCAGTTTAAGCAGAATCGTGGTTAATCAATTACCCAACTTTTTGGAACACCCTGTATGATTTTTTAAAAAATTTCAATATATGTAAAAAAACCAAATAAATTATGCGTGTCCAAGCAATTTCCCGAAAGACTAACCGTTTTTTAAATAACAAATATTGTAATATTTGAGGGGCGTTTTTACCCTCTTGGAATTTGAGATTCGAGAAACCCCTCCTTATCGAACCTCTACACCCCACAGTCAATCCGTTTGCCAAAAATCAGCTTTAAACGTCAAGCAATTTAAGCAGAATCGTGATTACTCAATGGTCATATTTTATGAAACACCCTGTATAAATATTTAAAAAAAAATTAAAATATGTAAACCAAACAAAATAAAATATACGTGTTTAAGAGTTTTTCGGAAAAACTCAGCGGTTTTTAAATATAAACTATTATAATGTTTGAGGGGTGGTTTCACACCCTTAGAATTCGAGTTTCGAAAAATCCCTTCTTATCGAACCTCTACACCCTAGAATCAACCTGTATGCCAAAATTGAGCTTCTTACGTTGAGTGGTTTGAGCAGGATCGTGACTTATCAATACGTCAGTCACTTAAGGATTTTATATATTAGTATAGATACATTTTAGCTTATTTTACCCATTTGTTGTTTTTGTTATTTATATTTGCAAATTACAAGAAAGAAAATCCAGAAAAGATCCATTGGTTCTCAAAATTTTAGCAAAAAATAATTTTTTTGTAAATTTTCAAAGTAAAAAAGGCGGTTATATTGGAATTATTTGAAAAACGGCGAAGAGGAAATGTGTTTCTTTTATCGAGATCTTTTTTTTACCAGCCCTGAATATTTGCATTTATTTAAGATCCTGTATAACTACTCGTCCCATCTTTTCTGATGTTTTCATTTACAATTTTAAAGCTTTCAAATTCAAAATTAACTTTATCAATAACTAGATTTTTTACGAGTATAATATTATTTATTCGTCGTCTCAATTGAAATAAATATTCTAATTTTTTCATCTTGTAGCTATTCCAACATGAACACTCGTCTCTCTTTCTCTCAATATTATTCAATTATGCTGCAGTTTAACGCCCTTCAAAGGCAAACAGATAATCTAGACAGCAGCACCTTCAAAGAAGCCGAGCTCACAATAAGATAAGAGGAATCGGAATCTGTTAATCTAGTGTTTCGGAAAGTTCTCAGCAGTATATTATCCAGAGCGCTAACTCGCTGTCTAAAAGCTTATTGATTCAATTATGCAAATGGCAACTCGGTTTTACATTGTCTTGTTCGATTAATGGAAGACTATGAAAAAATATCAAATCTAGTAAAGATTTTCCGAGAGATTTTTATAATACATATAGTATGCCTAAATACAACAGTTTTCAAAAATATATTTCCTAAGTACAATGCTATTTCCTTTATAAGTTTCATCAACTACTATCATAGACTGTATCATCATCATCAACATCATCATTTTCAGCTTATTCAACCATTTCCAATCATGGTGTAGCATCCCTCGCATATTTAGATACTCTCTTTATGTTGGGCCCATTGTTTATTGTTGGCTATGCAGGTCCAAGTTATTCATGCTAATTTCCTATGATCATGGTCCCACTTCAGGTTCGGTCTTCTTCTAGGTCTCTTAATTCCTCGTAGTATATTTTTGTGGCCCATTGTTGTTTCGCCAGTGCTTCTATAATTGCCTTAGGATAGATCGAGTCCGAAGCCTTCTCAAATTCTATAATGGTTATGGCTAGTGGAAGTTCGTATTCTTTTGTTCGGCTGCTAGTTTCTCTTAGTGTATGTATGTGATTAATCGTGCTGAAGCCGCTTCTAAAGCTTGCTTGTTCTCGTGGTTGTGCGGCGTCTAGATTATTTTGTTTTCTGTTGTTTTTGTGAATATCTTGAATATTACTGATAGTAGGCTTATTGGTCTATAGTTTCTGATGTTTCATTTGCTGCCTTTCTTATGAATTAGAATTATGTTGGCGCTATTCCAGTCTTGCGGTACCTATATGTTTTCTCCTTAGACAGCTAGTGTATACCGGGTGTTGCATCGTCGAGCGAGACATAGGAAATTCCATGTAAATTTTAATGGGGTTAATTATTGGCTTTCCTAATTATTTTAGAGAATAATTCTATTTAGGTTTATTGAAGAGCACTAAAACCCACATTCAAAAGAATAACTTTAGATATTTTTGATTAGCCCGTTTACGAGTTATTGCCGATTTCTTTTTAAATATGTCTCCTTTCTTATGAGCACCAGTCAAGGTAAAAGATAACTGTCAAATGAAGTTGTCATTTAATAGTACCTAAATTAATAAGTTATTGAATATTGTAATAATACTATAATTAACCTTGTAATTGAATACTTTATTTTACTTTAATTCATATTAATTTGTATTTATAAATACATCTTTAAGATTTCCGATGTAGGAATGAGTTTTCAATAATAATAAAGCACTAAATAGGTAAATTTCTGAAATGACAACTTCATTTGACAGTTATCTTTTATCTTGACTGGTGCTAATAAGTAAATACAGGGCCATAAGAAAGGAGAAATATTTAAAAAGAAATCGGCGATAACTCGTAAACGAGCTAATGAAAAATATCTAAAGTTATTCTTTTGAATGTGGGTTTTAGTGCTCTTCAATAAACCTACATAGAATTATTCTCTAAAATAATTATGGAAGCCAATAATTGACCCCATTAAAATTTACACGGGATTTCCTATGTCCCGTCCGACGATGCAACACCCGGTATATTCGCTAGAATTTTCCAGGTTCTTCTACCGGCACACAGACTATAATATATATACTATAGTAGCACAGACTATACTCGTATAGTCTGTGCTACTATACATTACATATTGTAATATATTTTTTATTTAATCGTAAGTAGTTTATTAGCTTTCAAAACTATTATTTCTTTATTTTCAGCCAATTTGTAATCCACATGTCCAAACCATACAGAAAATACCCAGAAGAGGCAAGGTATTGAAGAAAGATGGTTATTTTGATCACTTTGATTATGCGTGTTAAAAACAAGCAACATTTTTGGGTAAGTATGATAAGCAAGAAGTTGTAATATTTTTTTATTTAACCGTAAGTAGCTTGTTAGTTTTTAAAAATATTATGTTTCATTTTCAGTCAGTTTGCAATCAACTTGTTCAAGCTATCTAAGAAACGAATGAAAATAAGAGGAAAGTTGTTGAAGAGAGATGTGTTTATATTGATTATTTTTAGTAAGCTTATTTAAAAAAACATAGAATTTTTTTTGGGTAAGTGTGATACTGTGTATTTGAGATGTCATAAGCTTTCAAAGGGAAATAAAAGTGTTAAAACAATAAAATTGATAATAATGGTGTACCGAAAACGAAAGGTTATATTAAATGTATTTGCACCATCTTATAAAAAGAAAAAATTACAATGATAAAGTGGATTTTATTTAAAAAAATCTCTTTAAATAAACCCAGCAAAATTAAAACCGGTTTTGATATATTCCTTTTTTGAGCTCGCTCACCAAGGGATAGAAGGCAATGAAAAAGCTAAAGATCTACCTAGAAAAGGAACGAACACTCCATTAACTGGACCAGAACCGTTCTGCTTTCCAAGCGGAAACCAGCCTAAAACGGAATTGAAGAATCTCGAGGATCCCATACGTAACCTGGGATGGGATCATCAACGGTCTAAGATACTTGAGAAAATTCAACAGAACTTACGACCGAGAAGAATCAAAGATTTTCCTTGATTTAAGTAAGAACAATTTTCTTATTGTTACGAACAGGACACTGTCTCATCAACGAACAGATCAGTACATTGACAGCTGAGAAACAACGGAGAATGCAGATTCTGTGGGAAATCTCTGGTAAAAAAATTATCACTGAGTGCGCCAAGCAACCAAACATTCTACCTTCTACTTTGCAGTCTACAAATAATTGATAAATTATTCATTTTAAAATGTTACACTTGAGGGTTGGAACCTTGGTGTTACACAACAAAAATAAAACACTAAATCACCACAATACACCAAAACACTTTTACTTTTTGCACTGGACGCGCGTTTCGCTAACCATGTTAGCATCATCAGCAGATGATTATAAACTAAAGTACACCTACAAGTTGAGCGTTTATATACTCGCCCAGTAGGTACCGAGTGGGCGTGGCAAAATCTAGCCAACCGAGTCAGAGCTCGGAGCTCTTTTTGCTGTTTTTGACACACATTCAGACACCATAGATAATTTTAGTTCTAAGTTAAACAATCGTTGTCCTTCCATTAAATTTACGCATGAAATTGAGAACAACGACAGATTACCATTTCTAGATGTATTAGTTATTAGAAATACTAATAATTGCCTGGCTGGAATTTGATATATATAGGAAAAATACCACTACACGCAGATATATTCCTAATGAATCATATCATAGTATTGAACATAAAATGGCTAGTTTAAATTTCTTAGTTCATAGATTACTTAGTTTTCCACTTTCAGACGAAAGATATGAAATAGAAAGAGATTACATTAGGAATGTAGCTGAGTGTAATGGTTATTCTCCTTCACTAGTGGATAAAATAATTAGAAAACGTAGGTATAGGTTAATGATTTCTGAAAATTCGACTTTTCAAGTGGAGAAAGATACGTCAAAATATTTTTCAATACCGTTTGATAGACAGTTATCCCGGGGTTTAAAAGGAATTTTTAAGAATGTCAATTATAAACTTGTGTATAGTGCTAATAATAAATTACAACAATTATTAGGTAATCCAAAGGATAAACACCTCCACTGGAAAGGTAGGGTATTTATGAAATTTCTTGTAAAGATTGTAATCAGAAATATGTTGGGTAAACTAGAAGATCAATATTAACTAGATTTAAAGAACATTTAGCTCAGATAAGATATGGTAGACCGGATTAATCTTCGTTGCCGAACATATTGTTGATAAAGAACATTGTATAGATCTTAATAATTTAAAATTAATTAAACAAGTCTCAAATTACAGGCAATTAGATGCATATGAAAGCATCAGAATTAATAAATGTAAAGATAGTATGAAGAGAGTCAACGGTCCAATTCCTTCAAGTTCTTTGTTCCTACTACTCTAGTGGCGGAAATTAACTGTTACGCTCAGTTGGCTCTGACTCGGTTGGCTAGATTTTGCCACGCCCACTCGGTACCTACTGGGCGAGTATATTTCATGCGTAAATTTAATGGAAGGACAACGATTGTTTAACTTAGAACTAAAATTATCTATGGTGTCTGAATGTGTGTCAAAAACAGCAAAAAGAGCTCCGAGCTCTGACTCGGTTGGCTAGATTTTGCCACGCCCACTCGGTACCTACTGGGCGAGTATATAAACGCTCAACTTGTAGATTGTACTTTAGTTTATAATCGTCTGCTGATGATGCTAACATGGTTAGCGAAACGCGTGTCCAGTGCAAAAGTAAAAGTGTTTTGGTGTATTGTGGTTGATTTAGTGTAGTAAACCAAACCAAACCTAAACCAGAGTTATCCTTATTTTAATAAAAGCAAACTCCCCCCACCACTTTATTTTATGAGATAGAGCAAAATACTCTATATCAAAAAATTACAAATTTCTCGATGATTACAATAGTAATATTTAAAATACCTGTTCACCTGCATATTTTTGAGAAAACCCCTGTTTTCTGATTGGCTATCAGAGAAACGCCCTCTAGCGGACATTTTTCGGAAGAGAACTAGAGATTCTGATACTAATATTGAATGGAAAGAACAGCATCGGAGATTTTGGAAGAAAAGAGATACTAGTGCTTTGAACCATAACAGGTAAGCTTTGATTATGATATTGTAGCTCCCTGATAAGGTATTTTATATTTCTAGAGATCTACAATAGAATAATCAATATGACTAATTATTTTTAATGCTCGTTTAGAGCTATCATGACAAAGAGTCATTTATCACAACGCAGTTTTTTTATTACTCTATTTATATTATTTCTTTATCAAAAATAAATAGACATTCTCTTGGATCACATTGTATACAGTAAAAGATTGATTTTGATATTGATACCGATATTACTTATTGTTGTTTGGATGTACGAAAATAGGCTGCTTTGGTGTCATGTAACACGGTTTGTTTTGTCTGGGGAAATTAACCAGAACGAAAAAAACTATACAGCTGAACTTCCCACATATTATTAATTCAAAATTATAGGTATTTTTGTGTTGAATATTTAAAAAAAACTGATAGTAGGCTTATTGGTCTATAGTTTCTGATGTTTCATTTGCTGCCTTTCTTATGAATTAGAATTGTGTTGGTGCTATTCCAGTCTTGCGGTACCTATATGTTTTCTCCTTAGACAGCTAGTATACCGAAAGTTGTGTCGAGCGAGACATAGGAAATTCCATGTAAATTTTAATGGGGTTAATTATTGGCTTTCCTAATTATTTAGAGAATAATTCTATTTAGTTTATTGAAGAGCACTAAACCCACATTCAAAAGAATAACTTTAGATATTTTTTGATCAGCCCGTTTACGGTTATTGCCGATTTCTTTTTTAAATATGTCTCCTTTCTCATGGCCCTGTATTTACTTCAAGGTAAAAGATAACTGTCAAATGAAGTTGTAATTTAATAGTACTTAAATTAATAAGTTATTGGTTGTAACGTTGTAATTGAATACTTTATTTTACTTTAGTTCATATTAATTTGTATTTATAAATACATCTTTAAGATTTCCGATGTAGGAATGAGTTTTCAATAATAATAAAGCACTAAATAGGTAAATTTCTGAAATTTCAACTTCATTTGACAGTTATCTTGACATAAGAAAGGAGAAATATTTAAAAAGAAATCGGCGATAACTCGTAAACGAGCTAATCAAAAATATCTAAAGTTATTCTTTTGAATGTGGGTTTTAGTGCTCTTCAATAAACCTACATAGAATTATTCTCTAAAATAATTATGGAAGCCAATAATTGACCCCATTAAAATTTACACGGGATTTCCTGTCCCGTCCGACGATGCAACATCCGGTATATTCGCTAGAATTTTCCAGGTTCTTCTACCGGCACACAGACTATAATATAGCTACTCGTATAGTCTGTGCTACTATACATTACATATTGTAATATATTTTTTATTTAATCGTAAGTAGTTTATTAGCTTTCAAAACTATTATTTTTTATTTTCAGTCAATTTGCAATCAACATGTCCAGACCACACAGAAAATATCCAGAAGAGACAAGGTGTTGAAGAAAAATGGTTATTTTGATCACTTTGATTATGCGTGTTAAAAACAAGCAACATTTTTTTGGGTAAGTATGATACATCAAGAAGTTGTAATATTTTTTTATTTAACCGTAAGTAGCTTATTAGTTTTTAAAAATATTATTTTTTATTTTCAGTCAGTTTGCAATCAACTTGTTCAAGCTATCTAAGAAATGAATGAAAATAAGAGGCAAAGTGTTGAAGAGAGATGTGTTTATATTGATTATTTTTAGTAAGCTTATTTAAAAAAACATAGAATTTTTTTTGGGTAAGTGTGATACTGTGTATTTGAGATGTCATAAGCTTTCAAAAAGGGAAATAAAAGTGTTAAAACAATAAAATTGATAATAATGGTGTACCGAAAACGAAAGGTTATATTAAATGTATTTGCACCATCTTATAAAAAGAAAAAATTACATTGATAAAGTGGATTTTATTTAAAAAAATCTCTTTAAATAAACCCAGCAAAATTAAAACCGGTTTTAATATATTTCTTTTTTGAGCTCGCTCACCAAGGGATAGAAGGCAATGAAAAAGCTAATGATCTACCTAGAAAAGGAACGAACACTCCATTAACTGGACCAGAACCGTTCTGCTTTCCAAGCCGAAACCAGCCTAAAACGGAATTGAAGAATCTGGAGGATCCCATACATAACCTGGGATGGGATCATCAACGGTCTAAGATACTTGAGAAAATTCAACTGAACTTACGACCGAGAAGAATCAAAGATTTTCCTTGATTTAAGTAAGAACAATTTTCTTATTGTTACGAACAGGACACTGTCTCATCAACGAACAGAT